ACCACTAACTTGCCGAGGTGGGTCACCAAATTATTATAAAATGTTAATAAATTAACAAATTTACACCAACAAAGCCAAAATTCAAAAGTTATGATCATTTGTCTTCCTTTGATGGATGTTCCTAGGAATCGACACCATGCCTAACCCTTCTAGGGCAGGGTAGGTGCCTGAGCCCGAGCTTACAGCTCACAAGACTGTCATTCCCATTCGCCCCCTTGGGGTGGGGATGACAGACCAGAGAGGCCTAGCTTGTGGCTAGGCCTGGGGACAGTTGGTCCCAAAGATGAGGAGGTACTTGTGCCTCCTCCCATGGGAGACTTAGGTCTCAGACACTCCCTAAAGAGGGAGCCAAGGCCGGGCCACCACTTGGAAAAGGCCCGGGCCGGGAGAATACCGGCGAATATTTAATAATAATAATAATAATAATGTTCCTAGGAAGGTTACTCGTTGAAAATTAAACACAAGTGTAACATCTGGGTATCTTTATTGTAGACGTTCCGCCATCCAGTGGCTTTATCAATAAAAATTCTAGGGCAAGAATGGAAGACAGGAGAACTGTATACAAAACATGAGATAATGTCCCTCAGCCTTGGAGGTAATCAGTCCCTCAGCCTTGGAGGTAATCTGTCCCTCAGCCTTGGAGTTAATCAGTCCCTCAGCCTTGGAGGTAATCTGTCCCTCAGCCTTGGAGGTAATCAGTCCCTCAGCCTTGGAGGTAATCAGTCCCTCAGCCTTGGAGGTAATCTGTCCCTCAACCTTGGAGGTAATCTGTCCCTCAGCCTTGGAGTTAATCTGTCCCTCAGCCTTGGAGGTAATCAGTCCCTCAGCCTTGGAGGTAATCTGTCCCTCAGCCTTGGAGTTAATCAGTCCCTCAGCCTTGGAGGTAATCTGTCCCTCAGCATTGGAGGTAATCAGTCCCTCAGCCTTGGAGGTAATCTGTCCCTCAGCCTTGGAAGTAATCAGTCCCTCAGCCTTGGAGGTAATCTGTCCCTCAGCCTTGGAGGTAATCTGTCCCTCAGCCTTGGAAGTAATCTGTCCCTCAGCCTTGGAGGTAATCATTCCCTCAGCCTTGGAGGTAATCTGTCCCTCAGCCTTGGAAGTAATCTGTCCCTCAGCCTTGGAGGTAATCATTCCCTCAGCCATGGAGGTAATCATTTCTTCAGCCTTGGAGGTAATCAGTCCCTCAGCCTTGGAGGTAATCTGTCCCTCAGCCTTGGAGGTAATCTGTCCCTCAGCCTTGGAAGTAATCAGTCCCTCAGCCTTGGAGGTAATCTGTCCCTCAGCCTTGGAGGTAATCTGTCCCTCAGCCTTGGAAGTAATCTGTCCCTCAGCCTTGGAGGTAATCATTCCCTCAACCTTGGAGGTAATCTGTCCCTCAGCCTTGGAAGTAATCTGTCCCTCAGCCTTGGAGGTAATCATTCCCTCAACCTTGGAGGTAATCATTCCCTCAGCCTTGGAGGTAATCTGTCCCTCAGCCTTGGAAGTAATCTGTCCCTCAGCCATGGAGGTAATCATTCCCTCAGCCTTGGAGGTAATCTGTGCCTCAGCCTTGGAGGTAATCAGTCCCTCAGCCTTGGAGGTAATCAGTCCCTCAGCCTTGAAGGTAATCAGTCCCTCAGCCTTGGAGGTAATCATTCCCTCAGCCTTGGAGGTAATCGTTCCCTCAGCCTTGGAGGTAATCAGTCCCTCAGCCTTGAAAGTAATCAGTCCTTCAGCCTTGTAAGTAATCAGTCCCTCAGCCTTGGAAGTAATCAGTCCCTCAGCATTGGAAGTAATCAGTCCCTCAGCCCTGGAAGTAATCAGTCCCTCAGCCTTGTAAGTAATCAGTCCATCAGCCTTGGAAGTAATCAGTCCCTCAGCCTTAGAAGTAATCAGTCCCTCAGCCTTGTAAGTAATCAGTCCTTCAGCCTTGTAAGTACTCAGTCCCTCAGCCTTGTAAGTACTCAGTCCCTCAGCCTTGTAAGTAATCAGTCCCTCAGCCTTGTAAGTAATCAGTCCCTCAGCCTTGGAAGTAATCAGTCCCTCAGCCTTGGAAGTAATCAGTCCCTCAGCCTTGGAAGTAATCAGCCCCTCAGCCTTGGAGGTAATCAGTCCCTCAGCCTTGGAAGTAATCAGTCACTCAGCCTTGGAACTAATCAGTCCCTCAGCCTTGGAGGCAATCATTCCCTCAGCCTTGGAGGTAATCATTCCCTCAGCCTTGGAGGTAATCAGTCCCTCAGCCTTGGAGTTAATCTGTCCCTCAGCCTTGGAAGTAATCAGTCCCTCAGCCTTGGAAGTAATCAGTCCCTCAGCCTTGGAGGTAATCGTTCCCTCAGCCTTTGAGGTAATCAATCCCTCAGCCTTGGAGGTAATCAGTCCCTCAGCATTGGAGGTAATTTGTCCCACAGCCTTGGAGGTAATCATTCCCTCAGCCTTGGAGGTAATCTGTCCCTCAGCCTTGGAAGTAATCAGTCCCTCAGCCTTGGAGGTAATCAGTCCCTCAGCCTTGGAGGTAATCAGTCCCTCAGCATTGGAGGTAATCTGTCCCTCAGCATTGGAGGTAATCAGTCCCTCAGCCTTGGAGGTAATCAGTCCCTCAGCATTGGAGGTAATCAGTCCCTCAGCATTGGAGGTAATCTGTCCCTCAGCATTGGAGGCAATCAGTCCCTCAGCCTTGGAGGTAATCAGTCCCTCAGCATTCGAGGTAATCAGTCCCTCAGCATTGGAGGTAATCTGTCCCTCAGCATTGGAGGTAATCAGTCCCTCAGCATTGGAGGTAATCTGTGCCTCAGCATTGGAGGTAAGCAGTCCCTCAGCCTTGGAAGTAATCAGTCCCACAGCCTTGGAAGTAATCAGTCCCTCAGCCTTGGAAGTAATCAGTCCCTCAGCCTTGGAAGTAATCAGTCCCTCAGCCTTGGAAGTAATCAGTCCCTCAGCCTTGGAAGTAATCAGTCCCTCTGCCTTGGAAGTAATCAGTCCCTCAGCCGTGTAAGTAATCAGTCCCTCAGCCTTGTAAGTACTCAGTCCCTCAGCCTTGTAAGTAATCAGTCCCTCAGCCTTGGAAGTAATCAGTCCCTCAGCCTTGGAAGTAATCAGTCCCTCAGCCTTGGAAGTAATCAGTCCCACAGCCTTGGAAGTAATCAGTTCCACAGCCTTGGAAGTAATCAGTCCCTCAGCCTTGGAAGTAATCAGTCCCTCAGCCTTGTAAGTAATCAGTCCCTCAGCCTTGGAAGTAATCAGTCCCACAGCCTTGGTAGTAATCAGTTCCACAGCCTTGGAAGTACTCAGTCCCTCAGCCTTGGAAGTAATCAGTCCCACAGCCTTGGAAGTAATCAGTCCCTCAGCTTTGTAAGTAATCAGGCCCTCAAGTGCCAGGAGCTGTGTGTCATCTTGTGAAGCAAATACTAATATTATCAGTATAAAATAAACTATAAAATAAGACTTCCTGTACAACACTTTATTTGAACGTTTCGCTGACTGGACTGGGCGAAACACCTGTTAATAAATGTCATAAATATTGTGTTTATGTATTTATTTTACATTTTCTGGAGTTACCCCTAGTCTCTTCCGGAGGTCAGCGTCCCCGCGGCCCAGTACATGACCTCACCTCCTGGTTGTTGGCCTGACTGATCAAGCTGTTGCTGCCCATCATCAGCATTCCAAAGTGTGAACCACAACCATCAACACAAAAACAAAAAAAAAAGTGAATATGATTCCTCCTGGTCTGATGTTCTTGCGACATTCATAATTATTACTTTAGTCTCAGCGTACTATAGATCATAGTAAAATATGACTCGCATGTCTCTGAAAAAATGCGATATCTGAGGTACAAAAAAAATCACGGTAATTACTGAGTGTTTATTGGTGATCATGACAACAGATTCTGAAGACATTGTGAAAATAACAAAGTTTCCCCTGAAATTTGTTTTCGTCGTAGTTGATTTATTAAATAAATGTATGCAAATTCCAGCTATAATCAATATAAATATTTAGTTAATACTAAATAAACAATTTACTTTTATTTTGTAAATATTTTGGTAATATAAAATTAATTATTTAATGTAACATGTCTTCAGACACTTGATAAATTTAGTGTATTTTAGAAGGCCTGTGATTCCTCAGTATAGCTTACGGCTTACAACCAAAGTACCCGAGTTCGATCCTGGGACGGGTGGAGACGTGGAATGTGTTTCCACTCACCTAATAGTAAATAGGTCCCTGTGGATTAGCTGACTGAAAAAAACAACACGAGTCGTGGAAAGATGAAGATCTGTACACAATACACAAATAACCCGCACATAAAAGAGAGAAGCTTACGACGACGTTTCGGTCCGACTTGGACCATTGACAAAGTCGGACCGAAACGTCGTCGTAAGCTTTTCTCTTTTATGTGCGGGTTATTTGTGTATCGTTCCAGTCACGGTATTGTGCCTTTTTGTTATTTATGAAGATCTGTATTAGGACTGACCTGATGAATATTTTAATATAAATAAAACCATGTTAAAAGACGCCATAGAATTTTCCATTATGCAAATTCTTCATTATGAAGCGAGTTATGCATTAAAGACAGTTTTGCTTTGGGCTCGTGGGAAGAAACTTTTGTTTTTGGTACCAAAAATAAATAAATAAACGGAACTTAACCTAAATTTTACCTCTGAATCCAGAGGCAAAATTTAGGCAGGAAAATGTACAAGTAACTTGATATTTTGAAATATACAAGATGGGTTATTTGAAAGTTCAAACCTTTGATTTTTTTTGGTTATCCCAGGTTGTCTACACATTGTTGCTATACTCACCTAATTGTGGTTGCAGGGATCTAGACACAGCTCCTGGCCCCACTATGTATGATAATCTTTGTAACTGTTTTTGTGTATACCCCAATAAACTTACGTATTTAGCCCCTAAACTCAATATTAACCAAAACAATATAAAAGTCATGTCCCCCCCCCTCTGATATAATTAAATCTTGAAATTAAAAAAATCATTATCTTTCAACACTAACACATTGTACAACATTAAATGTATTTTCATTACAGATTTATTTGAATGGTTGTAAATGTTGGATGAGGCAGCATAATGTGGATACACAAACTACCACTACTGTTGCTGCCATTATTGTCTCCGACTCAGGCTGCTTCTGCCACAACAACGTTCGTAGGTAAACTTAAGTGGAACTATTTTATATAGTGTTATCTTACATAACGAAATATTTAATGTACGTAACCTGAGGAATTCAAGGATTTTTTTTTTTTAATTTTAGATATGTATTTCAAGGAGTGTGAAATGTTTATTGGTTTCCATGACTCGCGAACTTAATGCTTAATTTATTACTGGCCTGTCATGGCTTCCAGTCCTGTTTGTTCTGTGGATTACTTTTGTAACTTGTGAGTTCATTACCTTTGTACCTAGTTCAGTTATCAAAACTTTGGGGGCCCAGTCTCTGGACCCATTACGTACCTCTGTAATCTGTAAATACCTTTGTAACTTGTCATGATTGTGACCAGACCTACCTGAGTTCATTACCTTTGTAAATTGTGAGTTCATTACCTCTGTAACTTGCTCAGCTATCAAAACTTTGGAGTCCAGTCCCTGGACCAATTATGTACCTCTAATCTTTTGACTACCGCCCACAGGATGGGTATGGGGTGCATAATAAACATATTAAACTAAGCTAAAAGCCAATTAATTTCACTTAATTCATTAATCATTAAGACTGACATTCACCTTAAAATTCTATAAACCAGGAATTGAGTAAATAAAAATAAACAATGTATATACACTAGTTGTATATACCGTTTTAAGTACAGTCCAATTTAAGTACGTATAGTCCAACTAATGAGGATAATACAACTTTTAATTTACAAAATTTGATACACCACATTCAGATGATATCCTGATTTTGATGGCATTTTACAAAGTTAGATAAAGAGTTTCGTTAACCTAACACCTAAGTAAGTTACTCTTATCTCTTATCTTTTATCTCTCTTACTTAACCTATCATGAAGGATGGCTTTCCTGCTTTTTCTACCACTCTCAAACAGGATAGTTTTCCTGTCATACTCCATCTCACAGGAATATTTTCCTGTCATACTCCATTTCACAGGAATATTTTCTTGTCATACTCCATCTCACAGGAATATTTTCCTGTCATACTCCATTTCACAGGAATATTTTCTTGTCATACTCCATCTCACAGGAATATTTTCCTGTCATACTCCATCTCACAGGAATATTTTCTTGTCATACTCCATCTCACAGGAATATTTTCCTGTCATACTCCATCTCACAGGAATATTTTTCTTGTCATACTCCATCTCACAGGAATATTTTCCTGTCATACTCCATCTCACAGGAATATTTTCTTGTCATACTCCATCTCACAGGAGTTTTTTCTGACATTTTCTCAACCAGGATGGTTTTTCTGTCACACTGAATGAAAAAAATAATGTTTTGCTGACATATTACACCACACAAGAGGGTTCATATCATACTCCATCACCCAGGAGGGTTTTTCTTGTCATATTCCATCACAAAACATCAGACGCGAGACAGTGAGCACCCTCGTGTACAGCTTGGAGCAAGATCTTGAGTTGTACAAATGTCTTGCCATCGTTTGTCAGTGTCTAGATTAGGCTCGTTCCATCGATTGTATGTGCTGATGGTTCTGGAATAGTTTATCCTAGTTATACATTTTTCTTCATCTAGGTAGTGTTCCCAGTGGATGTGTCAGACTGTCCTGAGGTGTAGGTATCTGCTCTGGGCAACAAGGACCTGGACCAATTATGTACCTCTGTAATCCTTTGACTACCGCCCACAGGATGGGTATGGGGTGCATAATAAACATATTAAACTAAGAGGTAACAAGGGTCATGTGCCCAAATATATTTTGCTTCCATTCAGGATCACTTAAGTTTCATTTTTTTGTTTATTTCCAGCAGACTTTCTCTTAATGTTGGAGAATGTTGTCAAGTTATGACTCTTCATTTTAAGTCATGGAATTTTTGTTGTACCTGGAGTTTACCTGGAGAGAGTTCCGGGGGTCAACGCCCCCGCGGCCCGGTCTGTGACCAGGCCTCCTGGTGGATCAGAGCCTGATCAACCAGGCTGTTGCTGCTGGCTGCACGCAAACCAACGTACGAGCCACAGCCCGGCTGATCAGGAACTGACTTTAGGTGCTTGTCCAGTGCCAGCTTGAAGACTGCCAGGGGTCTGTTGGTAAACCCCCTTATGTGTGCTGGGAGGCAGTTGAACAGTCTCGGGCCCCTGACACTTATTGTATGGTAAGACCGAGATCGCAGTGGAGTTGACCAACTTTGACCTTGACTCAGTGGAACTATCTACCTGTTCTTCGTCTTCGCCAATCATTTACCTTAGCTGCCTGAGGTATGATTTACATTCCTGTACAGCTCCTGCCTTTAGGCTGACCATATTGGTTGTACTACGAGTTTAAGTGTCATTTTAGATGGATTCTTATATTGCCTGGTAAATTGTAATTCTGTCAAAGGAATTTCTCTTGTTAAGCTGCGCAGAGAATTTATCTTGGATGATGTATATAAGTACTCTGGGATGACTGATAGCCAGGTGGAATATTTGTGCATAGTAATATGGTACACAACATGCATAATTTAGTTAGTTATTAAAAATGCACTAGGGTATCATGGCATGAATGGATGAAAGGTCCAATATTCAGAGATCTCTTCATGTCCTAAGAAGACCAGGCAGAATCTGTCCTGATTCTGAATGCTAAATTGCTGGACACCATGATATATGTAGTTTGAAAATATGCAATATTCGGAAATTATTGAATTTGTATATGAATACATTGAATTGTTGTTACAGAAGGAGGATGCTACGGTGATAGTGTAGTGGCGCCCCTGGCGACTGTGTCTGCAGGCAACTATGACCCTGGTAGTCTCACTCCTGAAGTTTGCCAAGACTTTTGTGGTCGACTTCACTACACTCTTGCTGCCGCTGATGAGGGCAAATATTGTTACTGCTTTCAGAATTTGGGAAGTAAGTCCATTTATAAATTTAAAATTGCTTGGTTTCAAGCCCATAGACTGTACGTAGATCATTAAATATACTGGAATATGGTTTTCAGGTAATGCTCTAACACACAAGATTATTTTCATATACTCGAAACTGGATGGTTTTCAAGTGAAACTCCATCACACAGGATGGTTTAAAGATGATACTCCATCAAGATAGGTTTTCAAACAAAGAGTAATGAAGTTGGTCATCCTGATGAGCATTTAATGAAGCCTTCTGTGAAGAAATTTAATCTCACTAATACATTAATTACAACTTGTCTACAGCGTTGGTAAATGCCACGGGACAGTGTTTAGCTACCTGTAGTGATGGTTCAGTGTGTGGAGGGACAGCTGGTAACCTTACAGTGTGGACGGCAGGTGTTCTAGATGGCCACCTTAACTTTACACTCACTGGAAATACTACAGTCTTCCCTGCAAATACTGTTAGTACATAACAGTGCTTTCTTGTGTGTATATTGTTATTATTATTATTATTATTATTATTATTATTCTTTCTTTGCTGGTGAAGGGATTTTGATCCAGAGAATTGTATGATCCTCTCTTTCCTCGGATCAAACCTGATTACCTGACTCTACCATTCCCAAGGTGCTATGTCATCGTTTCGGGTTTGGTGCTTCTAATAATAATAATAACTTATAGTAAGTGAAGATATTAGTAAAATAAAAATGTAAATTTAATTGTATTTATGTGAATTTAACCTGACTGAGGTGATGTAGTTTATTTAATTGTAGTAAATTTGTTTTTCTGCTCTCCCTCCTCCCTCTTCCCATTTTCTCTTGATACAACTCTCTAAGCTGTCATTTATAACGTACTTCAGCTGTTATTATTTATTTACTTTGTCTGAGAAGGAAAGCCTAACATAAGCTGACACTATACTTCATATTCTGATAATTCCTATATGACCAAACTTACGATCCACACTTCCCAACTACATTGAGACAAAGTTTATTTCTTCCTAGTTGTCAGGTGACCATGTGTCAAGACTAAAACTGGCGCCCCTGGCCTCATGACCTCTGTATAGGTCACTCACTGGTCATTAAGCTCAGCACAGGAAGGAAGTTAGATTTGTTTTATCCATATCTGCTCCTCATTTAAACTATATATCTCTAGGTATATCTTTTATATCACTATTTATAAATTGCTTCTCCCCACAGACCGTGAACCTGACTGTCAATGCTACTAGCACATGGGTCACAAACTGGGGTGATGGGTCACCTTACATTATAAACGGCACCAATCACACCTACACTATGGCTGGCCACTTTAAAATTATTGGTGAGTAAGTTTTTTTTCCTGCTTCTGAATGAAATGATCTGTAACTTGCTCAGCTATCAAAACTTTGGAGTCCAGTCCCTGGACCAATTATGTACCTCTGTAATCTTTTGACTACCGCCCACAGGATGGGTATGGGGTGCATAATAAACATATTAAACTAAACTTCTGAATGATCCCTAGTTGGGAACACCTACCTGGAGTATACCTGAAGAGAGTTCCGCCCCCGCGGCCCGGTCTGTGACCAGGCCTCCTGGTGGATCAAAACCTGATCAACCAGGCTGTTACTGCTGGCTGCACGCAAACCAACGTACGAGCCACAGCCCGGCTGGTCAGGAACCGACTTTAGGTGCTTGTCCAGTGCCAGCTTGAAGACTGTCAGGGGTCTGTTGGTAATCCCCCTTATGTGTGCTGGGAGGCAGTTGAACAGTCTCGGGCCCCTGACACTTATTGTATGGTCTCTTAACGTGCTAGTGACACCCCTGCTTTTCATTGGGGGGATGTTGCATCGTCTACCAAGTCTTTTGCTTTCGTAGTGAGTGATTTTCGTGTGCAAGTTCGGTACTAGTCCCTCTAGGATTTTCCAGGTGGCCTGGTGGCTAAAGCTCCCGCTTCACACACGGAGGGCCCGGGTTCGATTCCCGGCGGGTGGAAACATTTCGACACGTTTCCTTACACCTGTTGTCCTGTTCACCTAGCAGCAAATAGGTACCTGGGTGTTAGTCGACTGGTGTGGGTCGCATCCTGGGGGACAAGATTAAGGACCCCAATGGAAATAAGTTAGACAGTCCTCGATGACGCACTGACTTTCTTGGGTTATCCTGGGTGGCTAACCCTCCGGGGTTAAAAATCCGAACGAAATCTTATCTTATCTTATCTCTCCCACCTGCGTTCCAGGGAATACAGGTTTAGGAACCTCAAGCGCTCCCAGTAATTGAGGTGTTTTATCTCCATTATGTGCGCCGTGAAGGTTCTCTGTACATTTTCTAGCAGTTCTTGTTCATATTTAAACAAAAAATTTTTAAAATAATTGTTTATGGGTTTGTGTAGGTCATAACAATAAAAGGCAGCTTCCATGCACTTTCGCCTACGTTAGTCACTGTCACAAATTATTACTTGGAAGTCGTTCCATTTCATCAGATGATCACAATTGTTCCTGTGTTGTACACGAGCGTTGTTACGGTCATCCTAACTAAATATATTTGTATTCACAGACTAATTTCCAAGGATTTAGTTTCCCCCCATACATTTTTATTGTATCTTCGCAAAAGCATAATGTAAATGTGCTAATAGTGGAGTCCTTCTCATGCCTCTGTTATCAAAATACTTTATTTAGTCTTACATTTTTGCTGTTTATTGAAAAAGTTAACAAAAATTGCTTGATTTTTTTATATTTTTCTCTTAATTTAGTGTCTCTTCAGGTGTCTGAGCTAATTCATGTCTGCATAAATAACTCGTTACGATTGTGACCAGATATAAACTGTAACTTATTCAGCTATCAAAATTTTGCTGCCCAGTCCCTGGACCAGCCGGGCTGTGGCTCGTACGTTGGTTTGCGTGCAGCCAGCAGTAACAGCCTGGTTGATCAGGCTCTGATCCACCAGGAGGCCTGGTCACAGACCGGGCCGCGGGGGCGTTGACCCCCGGAACTCTCTCCAGGTAAACTCCAGATAATACCTGTGCAATCTTTGGACTACCGCCCACACTCTTCAATTCAAATTCAATTCAAAGTTTATTCTCTATAAGGATTATAATGCTGAGTTTACAGAATTTGGTTATTGTGTGGTTTACATGTAGTAAAATAATGATTACAGAGTGTACCACTAGAACACCTAGCATGGCTAGGCAATTCGGGCAGACTTAGTTTAATTCTTAATTGTAAAATATTACAAATTATGAGGTAAGTTGGTATTATGGCTAAGTGACTAACTACTAGTTTGTGAGTTTAGCAATGTGAATGCTTTTGTTTATGGATATGAAGTGCATAATAAACATATTTAACTAACTTCAAGTGATATATTGATGTTAACAACAAAATTATTATTAACAGCTTACCTGGAATTGCTGCCAGACGTGAAGGATGGTATTATAATAACTGTGATTGGAAAGCCCAATGCCACACTGACGTGTCCTAGTTATGTTACTGTTGGAGTGCCAACTGTGTGCCAACTCATCTCCTCGGATCAAGGTTATGATAACGTGATAAATGCTTCATTTACTGAACCAGGAGTACCTAACACTTCGTATCCTGTCCCAGGTAAATATTGATTTATATCAGAAGACGTAACAAGAATAATGTAATAAATTACACCGAGATGAAATGACAAAATTGAATGACTTTATAATAATCTTGAATTACAATATTAATGTTCCAGTTTATATGATTCACATTTGAAGATTATAAGAATTACTTGCCATACAGTAAATTCTTGTAAAGTGAATGTTTTTAAAGCACATACACACATGTGTGTGTGGTTGCAGGGGTCGAGTCATAGCTCCTGGCCCAGCCTCTGCACTGGCCGCTACTGTGTGTGTAATACCCTATATGTTATAATAATAAAAATGTCTAAATACATTTCAATGTTCATAAAGATGTGGTATATTGGTTACAGGTAAAAAGATCAAAGTATATGGATCAATAATGGGTTCCATAACTCCAGTAACTTCTCACTTTGTGGCCACAACCACCGCTGTTATGTTCCATGTTGATGGTGTCAAAGCTGGTTATCTATCCCAGGTCACACTTATTGCTACTAAAGTAGGATGGGTCGCTCTCTACGTAAGTCATCAATGTATCTTCATTGTTTTCTGAACTACAATTCTAGCATTGACATTAATGGTAATATAATAGTTGGTTGGTTAATGGGGTTTAAAACCTATCAGTTACATGAGGGTCATTTAGACTCTCACCTGTCCATCACAAAGTCATAAATACTTTAATTTCTAAGTAGAGATTAAAGTCAACTCTTAGAAATATATATGTACACTGAGAGAAATGAATCTCTTAGTGTGTATAGTGAGTTAGTTTATTCTTTCTTTAAACACGACTTTTTTTTATTCGTAAAGGTCAGGAACAAAAGTTTTGGATAAATAATTTTACTGGATAATACGTGATGTTCATAAGTAACATGAAGCTTCTGTTCAGTCATTGTTGTAATAACATAATCTATGTAAAAATAACATACACTGTCTGGCTGGCTAATAACCAGTGTACTAGTCTGATCAAGATGGTGCCAGTGTACTAGTCTGATCAAGATGGTGCCAGTGTAGGCTATTTGAAGTATTCAAGGTATTTAATGGAAATTTCACATGATGTACTCACTTTTTTGTGGTTGCAGGGGTTGATTCATAGCTCCTGGCCCCGTCTTAGTTAACTGATCAAGGGAATAGCAGCAACCAGCAATTTTCTTTATCTTGGGTGTTTTTGCCCACCATGATTTTGGATTAGAGGTCCTGTGTGTCTATTTTAAATACATGGCCCTAAAAAAATATGGTTGATATAACACACTTTTTCATTGTTATTGTGTAACACTATTTCTCTGTGAATTGAATAGATGACATGTTCCAGTCATGGCATTACTTCGTACTGTTATCAGTTTAGCTCACAAAATTGATTTGCCAAACAATGTCAATGTGTTAATGTATCATTCCTTTTTGTATTTTTTTTTTTTTGCAAAATCAGTAAAATATTTTAAATATAATGTGAGGAACTAGACGAGTGAAAATGTTACCTTGAATTTATAATTAGAAAGACGTGAAAATTTACTATAAAATATATGTTTATATACTATTTTAAGACAAAATAATAGCTTATGCAATAGTTATACAGTGGACCCCCGCATAGCGAACTTAATCCGTGCAAGAGGGCTGGTCGTTATGCGAAATGTTCGCTATGCGAATTAATTTTCCCCATAAGAAATAATGGAAATAAAATTAATCCGTGCAAGACACCCAAAAGTATGAAAAAAAAATTTTTTTACCACAAAAAAATGTTAATTTTAGTACACACAAACTGAAAAAGGCATGCACAATTACATGACACTTACTTTTATTGAAGATCTGGTGATGATTGATGGGATGGGAGGAGGGGAGAGCATTATCTTCTTACTGTTTAGAAGGGGAATATCCCCTTCCATTAGGACTTGAGGTAGCAAGTCCTTTTCTGGGGTTACTTCCCTTCTTCTTTTAATGCCACTAGGACCAGCTTGAGAGTCACTGGACCTCTGTCGCACAACAAATCTGTCCATAGAGCTCTGTACCTCCCGTTCCTTCAAGACTTTCCTAAAATGGGCCATAACATTGTCATTGAAATAGTCACCAGCACGGCTTGCAACAGCTGTGTCAGGGTGATTTTCATCCATAAAGGTTTGCAGTTCAACCCACTGTGCACACATTTCCTTAATTTTTGAAGTAGGCACAATGGATTCCACAACTGGCATAGGCTTCTCAGGGTTAGCCCCAAACCCTTCAAAATCTTTCTTAATTTCCATACTATTCTCACCCTTTTTACCACAGGGTTGGCACTAGAAGCTTTCTTGGGGCCCATGGTCACTTATTTTCCAGAAACAGCACCGAAAACACTGTAATAATACGAAATATTCCGAGTGTATGCTTGAATGTTACCGCGGAGGCTAGCTGGTAAACAATGGGACGGGCGGCACATGTGAGGCTGGCTGAGGGCCCACATTGGACGCGTCTCGGACGAAGTTCGCTGAGCGGGTTTTTGTCTACTATGCGGGGCAAAATTTCAGCGAACAAAGCGTTCGCTATGCGGATTGTTCGCTATGCAAGGCGTTCGCTATGCGGGGGTCCACTGTACATTGTATAGCTCAAAACGACAGGTGTATTATGCTAAATTTGCTTTTAGATTGATTAGCAGACATATGCAGTACTTCCCTATTATTCTGTAATTTGAAAAGAACGTAAATAATATAGCATTTGGTAATTTCTCTCGACGAATCTATAGACAGTATAATAACCTATGTGACATGTCAAGTTATCTTATTAATGAAAATAAGATACCAGGTATACTAAGCAAATTTCCTAAATTTGCTTGTAACAGATAAGTGAACTGTAGATATAAATCCAAATGTACACCTGTTAACTCTTTTGGGGCCTAGTTCCTGGGCCTTTTGTGTATCCATATGTTCTTGCACTACTGTCCACAGGATGGATATGGGGTGTACAATAAACTAGCCACTTTGGTGGCAGAAGCAACACTACAGTGTTGATAATATACATTCAATAACATATCTTGTATCTGAATGTTACTACAGGCACTGTTCCCTGGGTGTTCCTCTGGTACCTACTGCTCGGAGACAAGCCAATGTGACATAGGTTGTGTACCTGACTACTTCTCTCAGACCTGTGCTAACTACTTCTGTGCTATAACCACCAAGTGTAATGGACCTACTTGCACTGCTGGTAAGCTGCTTCTGATCTGACTGAAATATTACCCTTACAAATTATAAATAAGGTTATTTAGACACAGGTACACATAGGTACAATTATCAGTGTCATTACTGTATTTCCCAACTATTTTAATAATAATATGTTTATTTCTAGAAGTACATGTACAAAGTGTACAGTCCTAGTGACATCAATGACTTATTACTATACAGAAAGCCCCTTGTTATGCAGAACATTTTTTGTAAATTAGGTCATTTTGTCCCAGGATGCGACCTACTCCAGTCTACTAACACCCAGGTACCTATTTTACTGATGGGTGAACACTGACAGCCGGTGTTTTTATCCGTACCGGGGATCAAACCCCGGACCTCACTGTGTGAGCTGCCAAACCAGCTACTTATGTATACCTGTGTCTAAATAAACTTACTGACATTGTGGTCCTTGAAATAATATCTGTACATAAAGCAGTAACTAGTGTGGGTTATCCGTGTAAATATTTAACATTTAATAAACATTAAATAAAACTATAGCCAAAAACCAATAACTTCAAGACTTTATAAATATTTTAGTTAATTGTTATTTGTTGGATGGTTACAACAGCACTAAACTCCAACTTCAGTACAGACCCTTGTATATCATTCTATGTGTAATTTATTGTGCATTAAATTTATACCCATTTGTTTGATGTGGATGATGTTGAGGTTCATAAAGGTGAGAGACTTGCTGTTGGCTGCCTCAACACTGCTGACTGCTACTCTGCTCCCCTTAATGTTAGTATATATTATTATTATTATTATTATTATTATTATTATTATTATTATTATTATTTACTACTACTACTACTAAACACGTTGGCATTACTCCAAAATCGTTAAATTTTCTTAGAGATTTGATTTGTAAAAGCTGGAGCTTTTGGTCATCTGACTGAAGCCTTCTGCTGGCTTACCAGTCCATACCTTTTAAATTTATGGTCAAAGTTACATTTTTTAATAGGAAGTTAATGCACTAGCAGGTAAATCAAAACATTTTTGTATCTTTGCATTGTGAAACAAAATACGCAGGAAATACCAACTACAGACCCTGGTCCACCACGAGGCCTGGTCACAGACCGGGCAGCGGGGGTGTTGACCCCCGGAACTCTCTCCAAGTATGCAGATAAAATATATATAATAGCGCATTGTATGAGACACTTCGTCAAATTAAACAATTTTTAAACATCTCGTAAAATTGTTTCAGATAAGTACAAGATCAAGACAAGTGGATGAGCCTCTGGACATAATTGTGTCATACGTGGACGCTACCACTGCCCAGGAAACAGCAAATATTACCGACAAGTAAGTTGAATATAACAAACATCAGCACATTATGTAGTTTTAGTAGGTATAAGACAAAATTAATTTAATTAGTCATGTGTATCCCAGGGTCTCTACATATATGTGCTATGTATGATAATCTATGTAACTGTATTTGTGTATACCTGAATAAATTTACTTATGGGGAAGCACCAAACCCACAGGAGTTGTGAAGAAGTAGTCAGGTTTGGTCAAAAAGTAGGAAAATCGTATTACACATCAAGTATAAAACGTGTCATGTACGTGTTTAAGACCCGTTTGAGGAGACACTTGTCCTGTCTCCTGACTAATATTATAACAACAACAAACAGTAGGAAAGAATAGCTACAATTACTTGGATCAAGAGCCCTTCAACACCAATTAAGTGGAGATTTTATTGGTATTTTACACCCAGAGGAGAGTTAGTCACCCAGGATGACCCAATAAAATCAGTGTGTCATCAGTGGCCGTCTGTCTTTATTTTCATTACGATCCTTTGGTCTTGTCCCCCAGGGTGCAACCCACACCAGTCACCTAACACCCAGGCGCCTACTTCTGGATGAACAGGGACAGTAGGTGTAGGGAACTAACGAAGACGACAAGAGCTGTCCTAAGATAAGAAGGATGGAAATACTACTGGAAAAGGATATCCCTAAGATAAGAAGGATGGAAATACTACTGGAAAAGGATATCGAGTAGTTCATCAGGTGAACTTAGTAGTCCCGGCCTCCAGAGAGGTGACAAGTTCCTGGCCAGTCATTTCGTTAGGAAAATGTCAAGTGGTGTACAAAGTCTGGTGGTTGGAGGTGGAGTGACGTCACGTACAGTTAGTGATGGTGGTGAACCTGCTGTTGCTGGTGTGCAGACACATTAACTAAATCTTTTGTGAACTTAGAAATGTCTGCAGACGGTGGAGAGGCTGGGAAGACGAATTTGGGCATGTTGGTTAGTTCAAAGAACTCGTTGATAACGTCGTTAAAGGAGCCAGGCTGTGCCATATGTATGTGAGCAGACAGTAATGTATCTTGGTTGGGTCACAGGCTGGAGGAGTGATGGAGGGTAGAGTGACCTTGAGAAGTTTTGAAGTGTCTGACTGCATAAGTAGGAGACTTGAATGGTATCTTTTTCTGTTCTGCTTCTTGGGTCTTCAGAGGTTCACGGTGGATGGCCGATGGGGCATCTTGAAGCAAGAGTATGATGGTCCGTTTTGCAGTGAAGACATTTAGGTGGAGTAGTAGCAGTGCAGGACTTAGTCATGGTCCTCAGACCCACAGGTAGAGCAGAACTTGGTATCCTTAATGGGGCAGTCCTGTGTGGTATGTTAATAGGAGAAGCAACTTCAGCATTGAGCAACATGATGGTAACATTCAGCTTCAGTGTGTTGAGAGTTGATGAAATAATAGTGTATGGCCAGACTGTCAGCCATAGCTTGGGCAGCCATAGTCACATAGGTGAATGTAATGCTGTAGGTATCTTAGAGATGCTGTCAACCTTTGCCCAAGGATTTTGATCTTCAATTGAAGCCTTCAGGACTTCGAGAGGTTAAGATGTGATCAATTTATCAAGCTTCTTGAGGAAGATAGAACGTTTGGCTCGATTCGCTGGATATTAAATAACTTGAAACCCATTGTCAGCGAGACTAGTCTTAGCAGAGGATTTAACTAAGTTCAGTCCGCAAGGTAGTAACAATGGCAAGCTCCATAGAGTCAATCACCGTCCCACTGGAGGGTTTTATCTTGACTGGAGAATTCATCTTGATCCAAGGATGAAGATGAAAGGTAGAGGTTCCCCTCCCCAACGGGGATCACAGGGAGACTAGGAAGAGTAGGTATCAGAGCAAGTCCTGAATCTGTGAATCTGTATTTCGGTGTAAGGAAACATGCTTAGTGTTTCCACCCATGCTGGGGATCGAACCACTGACACTCAGCATTTGATCTGCTGTGTTATTGTGATTATTTATTTGTAATTACGGTAATTGACTTTGTCAATGGTCCAAGTCGGACCGAAACGTCGTCGTAAGCTTCTCTCTTTTATGTGCGGGTTATTTGGGTATATATATGAGTTTGTCGGAAAGAAAGTTTGATGTCTAGGTTCCGCTTCTTGATTTTTGACCGACAAACCTGAGGAGTATGACACAGGGAAACACTAAGAATCTTTATTGGGGAAACGTTTCGCCTGCGCTGCAGGCTTTATCAGTCAATTACAGAGACATCAGCACTGGTGGAAGACAAAGTTGAGAGGGTGCTTGATTACAACAACTACCTCTCAACTTTGTCTTCCACCAGTGCTGATGTCTCTGTAGAGATAAAAGGTATAAAATACCAACACGATGGAAAAATAAACACAAATACAATATAATGTGGGATTCAGGGAAACCGGCAGGCCGGACTTGAGTCCTGGAGATGGGAAGTACAGTGCCTGCACTCTGAAGGAGGGGTGTTAATGTTGCAGTTTAAAAACTGTAGTGTAAAGCACCCTTCTGGCAAGACAGTGATGGAGTGAATGATGGTGAAAGTTTTTCTTTTTCGGGCCACCCTGCCTTGGTGGGAATCGGCCGGTGTGATAATAAATAAAAATTTACTATGTTTCACCCACACAGTGATCTTTATCAAGTCACTAACAGATCTACCTGGGTAAAGAGTACATGAATTTATATAGTGTGAAGAGTCAGGTGGAGAATGTTGGGAAGGTTGTATTAGAGAGGGACCTGTAGGTCCCTCTCTAGTACAACCTGTAGGTCCCTCTCTGGACCTGTAGGTCCCTCTCTAATACAACCTGTAGGTCCCTCTCTGGACCTGTAGGTCCCTCTCTGGACCTGTAGGTCCCTCTCTGGACCTGTAGGTCCCTCTCTGGACCTGTAGGTCCCTCTCTGGACCTGTAGGTCCCTCTCTGGACCTGTAGGTCCCCCCTGACTGTAGTCCTTCTGGACTGTAGGTCCCTCTCTGGACCTGTAGGTCCCTCTCTGGACCTGTAGGTCCCTCTCTGGACCTGTAGGTCCCTCTCTGGACCTGTACGTCCCTCTCTGGACCTGTAGGTCCCTCTCTGGACCTGTAGGTCCCTCTCTGGACCTGTCGGTCCCTCTCTGGACCTGTCGGTCCCTCTCTGGACCTGTAGGTCCCTCTCTGGACCTGTAGGTCCCTCTCTGGACCTGTAGGTCCCTCTCTGGACCTGTAGGTCCCTCTCTGGACCTTGGTTTATAGGTCCCTCTCTGGACCTGTAGGTCCCTCTCTGGACCTGTAGGTCCCTCTCTAATACAACCTTCTGTCTCTCCTCCTCAATACTTTTTATGTTGTGATTATATCCCCCTCTTGTTCTACCCCATCAGTAAAATAAAGCCTAGTCCTCGCAGTCTTTCTTAGCTCATCCCCCCTCAGCTCAATTACTACCTTGATGCTTTTCTTTGCATTCTCTTAACGTTTTTATATTTGTGTACAGTATGTGTGGCTCTTTGTGTGATTTTACTAAATATTTTGAGTTTTGGACCCTCAAATATGTATATTTAGTAACGTTTTCATTTTAGATTGGTCATAAGTGCAACTGTGAGGGAACATCAGCTAGTTAACATGAGCTACAAGGTGGACTGTGCCACAGCTTCATCTATTCCTACTGCCCTTGTTCCTACACCTTATACACAAAATACTTCTATGTACTCCCTGAAAGGAACCCACAATCTGACCTATGTGGTACGTAGATTCCTGTATGTCTCTTTTGGTTAGGTTTAAAGGCTGTTTACTGAACCAGGGTCATTAAGGCTGTGTTATACCTGTACATCATCAGTCGGGGGAACTTTAATACAATAACAAAGCACAAACATTGTTATCATGTGGAAATCAATCTTTGTCTAAATATTTCCTCTTCTAAACAAATTTCAGTAGTCTGAGCCTCTCCCAAAATATTTCCTTCACCGAGGCTTTGCATTATTTATGTGAGATATCATTTTGCATTTGAAATAAATTACTTTATGTATATACACTGGTAAATACGGAATAGTGGTGCTCCATTTTAATTGTCTCCTTAGTAACTGAAGGCTAATTATGTAGTTTGTTTTCAGATTACGAGTAAGTTACTGGGGGCAGCAAGTAACTGGACCGGCCAAGCTTCAACAGTATGTCAGGAACTTGTCAGTGAACCAGACTTAGTTGATGAATTTTGGGTTCCACTCTTCTACACAACTCCCTTCCACATCACCTTTACTAAGGTCTGTCTTATTAAAATGCTACTACTACAATACTGCTTCTCACACTACTACTAAAGTACTGCTTCTGATACTACTATAGTACTACTACTGATATTATATCTACAGTATTAATACTACTACAGTACTAATAATATAGAACTACTGATACTACTGCAGCACTACTACTGATACTTGTTCCTCATCCTCATATCCAACATAGACAAGGATGTCAGCCACAGCACCGTGTCTTCCTTTGCAGATGACACCCGAATCTGCATGACAGTGTCTTCCATTGCAGACACTGCAAGGCTCCAGGCGGACATCAACCGAATCTTTCAGTGGGCTGCAGAAAACAATATGAAGTTCAACGATGAGAAATTTCAATTACTCAGATACGGTAAACATGAGGAAATTAAATCTTCATCAGAGTACAAAACAAATTCTGGCCACAAAATAGAGCGAAACACCAACGTCAAAGACCTGGGAGTGATCATGTCGGAGGATCTCACCTTCAAGGACCATAACATTGTATCAATCGCATCTGCTAGAAAAATGACAGGATGGATAATGAGAACCTTCAAAACTAGGGAGGCCAAGCCCATGATGACACTCTTCAGGTCACTTGTTCTATTTAGGCTGGAATATTGCTGCACACTAACAGCACCTTTCAAGGCAGGTGAAATTGCTGACCTAGAAAATGTACAGAGAACCTTCACGGCGCGCATAATGGAGATAAAACACCTCAATTACTGGGAGCGCTTGAGGTTCCTGAACTTGTATTCCCTGGAACACAGGCGGGAGAGATACATGATTATGTACACCTGGAAAATCCTAGAGGGACTAGTACCGAACTTGCACACGAAAATCACTCACTACGAAAGCAAAAGACTTGGCAGACGATGCAACATCCCCCCAATGAAAAGCAGGGGTGTCACTAGCACGTTAAGAGACCATACAATAAGTGTCAGGGGCCCGACACTGTTCAGCTGCCTCCAAGCATACATAAGGGGGATTACCAACAGACCCCTGGCAGTCTTCAAGCTGGCACTGGACAAGCACCTAAAGTCGGTTCCTGACCAGCCGGGCTGTGGCTCGTACGTTGGTTTGCATGCAGCCACCAGCAACAGCCTGGTTGATCAGGCTCTGATCCACCAGGAGGCCTGGTCACAGACCGGGCCGCGGGGGCGTTGACCCCCGGAACTCTTTCCAGGTAAACTCCAGGTAATACTGCAGCACTACTACTGATACTGCAGTACTACTAATACTGCAGTACTACTACTGATACTGCAGCACTACTACTGATACTGCAGCACTACTACTGATACTGCAGCACTACTACTACAGTACTACTACTGATACTGCAGTACTACTACTGATACTGCAGCTCTACTACTGCAGTACTACTACTGCAGTACTACTACTGATACTGCAGCACTACTACTGCAGTACTACTACTGATACTGCAGCTCTACTACTGCAGTACTACTACTGATACTGCAGCACTACTACTGCAGTACTACTACTGATACTGCAGCACTACTACTGCAGTACTACTACTGATACTGCAGCACTACTACTGCAGTACTACTACTGATACTGCAGCACTACTACTGCAGTACTACTACTGATACTGCAGCACTACTACTGCAGTACTACTACTGATACTGCAGCACTACTACTGCAGTACTACTACTGATACTGCAGCACTACTACTGCAGTACTACTACTGATACTGCAGCACTACTACTGCAGTACTACTACTGATACTGCAGCACTACTACTGCAGTACTACTACTGATACTGCAGCACTACTACTGCAGTACTACTACTGATACTGCAGCACTACTACTGCAGTACTACTACTGATACTGCAGCACTACTACTGCAGTACTACTACTGATACTGCAGCACTACTACTGCAGTACTACTACTGATACTGCAGCACTACTACTGCAGTACTACTACTGATACTGCAGCACTACTACTGCAGTACTACTACTGATACTGCAGCACTACTACTGCAGTACTACTACTGATACTGCAGCACTACTACTGCAGTACTACTACTGATACTGCAGCACTACTACTGCAGTACTACTACTGATACTGCACCACTACTACTGATACTGCAGCACTACTACTGATACTGCAGCACTACTACTGTAGTACTACTACTACTGATACTGCAGTACTACTATTGATACTGCAGTACTACTGTTGATGCTGCAGTACTACAGATACTGCAATACTATTATTGGTACTGCAGTACTACTACAGATACTGCAGCACTACTACTGATACTGCAGTACTACTATTGATACTGAAGTACTACTGTTGATGCTGCAGTACTACAGATACTGCAATACTATTATTGGTACTGCAGTACTACTACAGATACTGCAGCACTACTACTGATACTGCAGTACTACTACAGATACTGCAGCACTACTACTGCAGTACCACTGCTACAGTACTGTTACTGCTACTACTACTACAGTACTGTTACTGCTACTACTACTACAGTACTGTTACTGCTACTACTACTACAGTACTGTTACTGCTACTACTACTACAGTACTGTTACTGCTACTACTACTACGGTACTGTTACTGCTACTACTACTACAGTACTGTTACTGCTACTACTACTACAGTTTACCTGGAGAGAGTTCCGGGGGTCAACGCCCCCGCGGCCCGGTCTGTGACCAGGCCTCCTGGTGGATCGGAGCCTGATCAACCAGGCTGTTGCTGCTGACTGCACGCAAACCAACGTACGAGCCACAGCCCGGCTGATCAGGAACTGACTTTAGGTGCTTGTCCAGTGCCAGCTTGAAGACTGCCAGGGGTCTGTTGGTAATCCCCCTTATGTGTGCTGGGAGGCAGTTGAACAGTCTCGGGGCCCCTGACACTTATTGTATGGTCTCTTAACGTGCTAGTGACACCCCTGCTTTTCATTGGGGGGATGGTGCATCGTCTGCCAAGTCTTTTGCTTTCGTAGTGAGTGATTTTCGTGTGCAAGTTCGGTACTAGTTCCTCTAGGATTTTCCAGGTGTATATAATCATGTATCTCTCCCTCCTGCGTTCCAGGGAATACAGGTTTAGGAACCTCAAGCACTCCCAATAATTGAGGTGTTTTATCTCCGTTATGCGCGCCATGAAAGTTCTCTGTACATTTTCTAGGTCGGCAATTTCACCTGCCTTGAAAGGTGCTGTTAGTGTGCAGCAATATTCCAGCCTAGATAGAACAAGTGACCTGAAGAATGTCATCATGGGCTTGGCCTCCCTAGTTTTGAAGGTTCTCATTATCCATCCTGTCGTTTTTCTAGCAGATGCGATTGATACAATGTTATGGTCCTTGAAGGTGAGATCCTCCGACATGATCACTCCCAGGTCTTTGACGTTGGTGTTTCGCTCTATTTTGTGGCCAGAATTTGTTTTGTACTCTGATGAAGATTTAATTTCCTCATGTTTACCATATCTGAGTAATTGAAATTTCTCATCGTTGAACTTCATATTGTTTTCTGCAGCCCACTGAAAGATTTGGTTGATGTCCGCCTGGAGCTTTGCAGTGTCTGCAATGGAAGACACTGTCATGCAGATTCGGGTGTCATCTGCAAAGAAAGACACGGTGCTGTGGCTGACATCCTTGTCTATGTCGGATATGAGGATGAGGAACAAGATGGGAGCGAGTACTGTGCCTTGTGGAACAGAGCTTTTCACCATAGCTGCCTCGGACTTTACTCTGTTGACGACTACTCTCTGTGTTCTGTTAGTGAGGAAATTATAGATCCATCGACCGACTTTTCCTGTTATTCGTTTAGCACGCATTTTGTGCGCTATTACGCCATAGTCACACTTGTCGAAGGCTTTTGCAAAGTCTGTATATATTACATCTGCATTCTTTTTGTCTTCTAGTGCATCTAGGACCTTGTCGTAGTGATCCAATAGTTGAGACAGACAGGAGCGACCTGTTCTAAACCCATGTTGCCCTGGGTTGTGTAACTGATGGGTTTCTAGATGGGTGGTGATCTTGCTTCTTAGGACCCTTTCAAAGATTTTTATGATATGGGATGTTAGTGCTATTGGTCTGTAGTTCTTTGCTGTTGCTTTACTGCCCCCTTTGTGGAGTGGGACTATGTCTGTTGTTTTTAGTAACTGTGGGACGACCCCCGTGTCCATGCTCCCTCTCCATAGGATGGAAAAGGCTTGTGATAGGGGATTCTTGCAGTTCTTGATGAACACAGAGTTCCATGAGTCTGGCCCTGGGGCAGAGTACTGTTACTGCTACTACTACTACGGTACTGTTTCTGCTACTACTACTACAGTACTGTTACTGCTACTACTACTACAGTACTGTTACTGCTACTACTACTACGGTACTGTTACTGCTACTACAGTACTGTTACTGCTACTACTACTACAGTACTGTTACTGCTACTACTACTACAGTACTGTTACTGCTACTACTACTACGGTACTGTTACTGCTACTACTACTACAGTACTGTTACTGCTACTACTACTACAGTACTGTTACTGCTACTACTACTACAATACTGTTACTGCTACTACTACTACAGTACTGTTACTGCTACTACTACTACTACTACAGTACTGTTACTGCTACTACTACTACAATACTGTTACTGCTACTACTACTACAATACTGTTACTGCTACTACTACTACAGTACTGTTACTGCTACTACTACTACAGTACTGTTACTGCTACTACTACTATGGTACTGTTACTGCTACTACTACTACTACGGTACTGTTACTGCTACTACTACTACTACTACAGTACTGTTACTACTACTACTACAGTACTACTATTACTACTACAGTACTACTACTACTACAGTACTGTTACTACTACTACACCCCTCAAGGAAGGTTCCTTGATGCTGGTGAGGGGCTCTTGATCTAGGGAAGTGGATCTGTGCTCCAGTTCCCTGAATTAAGCCTGAATACCTTCCATCCCCCCCACAGGTGTTGTATAATCCTACGGGTTTAGCGCTTCCCCATGATACTACTACTACTACTGTACTATTACTACAGTACAGTACTACTGCTGCTACTACTGCCCCAGATTTATACACTCTTGGTCATCCTATTCTGCTCCATCTCTTCCTAATTAACCATTTCAACACCTCCACTCTCTGGCTTCGACCTTTCATAACCTGATGCCTTTTAATTTCTATTTGAATTCTCTGCATAATATTCACACCATGTACAACTGCAAATGCATGAATATTATATACTTATTTTTATTTTTTTTTTCATGGCTTAGTATTAATAGTGATTCTATTTTCAGGGTGCTCCACTCTTCTCTAGTCTTAACTGGGGCCCTCAAGTTGCATATACCTACTTTGCTAGTTTGTATTATTATTATTATTATTATTATTATTATTATTTTTTTTTTTTTTTATTATCACACTGGCCGATTCCCACCAAGGCAGGGTGGCCCGAAAAAGAAAAACTTTCACCATCATTCACTCCATCACTGTCTTGCCAGAAGGGTGCTTTACACTACAGTTTTTAAACTGCAACATTAACACCCCTCCTTCTATTATTATTATTATTATTATTATAGTCATGGAGAAGAGTTAAACTACCTGGGAAATAGGGGTATGCCATATTTTCCAGCATATAAGGTGCACAATCATTCCTGGGGTATACCTGGAGAAGGTTTCAGGGGTCGGCGCCCCCACGACCCGGTCTGTATAAAACAGTGTTGCCAAGTAGTTGTAATGTAACGAACAACTGCTAAAGCGTGACATAAAGCCTACCCTTGACCCCGACCTTCAGCATGTAAGATACTGGCTGATTTTCCAAGACTTTTTGTGGGGGCAGAAAAGCATGCCTTATATTCTAGAAAATACAGTAATCAGATTTGATCCAAGGAAGGGAAAGTTAGCTCTAATTCTTGGATTAAGTGGCCTTTACTGGTATTTTAATGCCCCCCAACTTGATGAGTTGAAATTTTGATGTTTTTTAAACTGTTGCAGTGTGTCATTACTAACATACGTGTGATTTTATTTTTTATATTAATTTTTGTATAGAAATCTTTGAGTTATGGAAATTTCTGTGTTGTTTTAAAGTAGTGTATTGTCACTTAAGATTAATTTGATATATTTAAGCATTGTGTGATCATATACTTCATAGTAATGTAAAATAATTGTTAAGAAATGTTATTCAATCACTGAATTTTATAAGATTTTAGAGGCAGAGTAGGCCTATGGTGATGGAGTTTGGAAGTTTTAACATATCATTGATTACATATATCAATTTTTTTTATTGTCTTTGTCAGATTCAACAAGCATGGATTGGGTAGTGCAACTGACTTATAATAAGACTGGAAATTATACTCTTCTTGGAAATGCTTCCAATGCTCTGAACTGGGTGAGTATTGTACATTATTGTGCATTTATTATTCTTAAGTAAGTAAGTAAGTGTATTTCTTTGTAAAGGTTACAATGTGTAATTACAATTTTGATTTGCTAAGTACGAAGATAGCTACTATCATGCCAAGGAATTTTGGGCAGACTGATCCTAATACATAGTAACTAATTAAAACTTGATAAGATGACATGTTTGTGATTATCTATTTGTAAATACCTGTGATTGCCACTGGTTACAGGAGCAGAACAAAGCTCATGGTGACCTGTCTTCAACATTTATTCTGTCCTGGTTGTAATATTTACTCCCGTATTTTATTATTATGTGGAAACCCTCAGTGTACAATCACACACAAAATAATTAGTCTAGGAAAGACCAACTATTACAGCCATCACTACCTCCTCATGTAAGCTGTTCTGTTGTTCTGTGAAGAACTTTTTAGCATACACGTGGCAGCTCTTCTTTCTTAGTTCATAGTGATGATCTCTTACTCTGGTATGCTTGAGGTAGGTATCTGACCCCATTTAGAAAAACAATGCAGTAATACCCATACCCATGGATAGTAAAAAAAAAAAAGTGTTTTAGTACTACAGGATTAATCTGTAATAACCAAATAGTGTTTGTGTATATAATTTTCACATGCACATTATTTTCTGACACCTAGCAATACAGTTTTTAGAAATGCCTTTTGTAATAGAGAAGTTTTAATATTTTTCTTTCACTATTATCATAGTTTGATACACAACATTGTGTGGCTCCCCTGATCCATATGACACCACAACATTACAGCAAATATTAAAAAAAATATTAATGTTTGTAAGAGTGTAAGGTAAATCAATGTTAAATTTTGCAATATTCTGATTTACAGGTAAATTACACCAGTTTGATTCATGTCGTCCCGGTAGTAGGTAACAATTGGACAGCAACGCCTCTGTGCCCTTGCCTGGGTGTCAAAGAAGGATTCAATATTTCCATCAATCTTACAGCTGCACCCAACCCACCTTTTTCAGCGAGCATTTATGCCACATACATGAATGGGTCACTATTCCGTAAGTTTCCTCTGGATTTATGTTGATTGGAACTTCTTGAGGTTATGTTAACATTAATTTGTGTTGATCAGAACTGTAAATGGTTATGCTGCCCGAGCTATGTTGATTACAGCTTACTAATGTTAGTCACTGTGGTGCTATGTTGGTAAAGGCTTCTTGAGATTGAAGCTACTGTGGTCTTATGTTGGTCTGGGCTTCCTAAGATTAAGCTCCTGTCAGGAAAAAAGGAGATAATATGCTTTTTCTGTGGAATGTAATGAAAGAAAAAATAATACCCAGAAAAAAGGGATGTAACAGATGAAAATCTTAAAGACCTGTGTTAGACAAGAAGAAACATGTGCCAAACATGTCATCTAATAAATATCCTGAACCCTACCTTGATGGGATATAGCTGATGTAAAATTGTTTCTTATTATTCACACAAAAAATGACAGAGGTTTCTCACTGCCCTTGTGTTATTCAACTTATTATTATTGAAAGGCTGCGAGTTTCATATTTCTAAATGTTTTCTAAATGTATTAGAAGGTGCTACCTACTATCCTGTCATAAGAGTGGGTCTGCTCAATGTTTTACACTGGCAGGGTTTTCTGTCTTTTCTCTCTCTCAAGAACACATAAGATGACAGGTAAATCTTATAATTTTCTACTTACATTCAGTAAACTTTACTTTTCCAAGTGAGTCTTAATGCTGTAGTTCTTTTCCGTGTCACATATCCTTTCAATATGCAGTAATTGCGGACGAACCGTATGTTGAACCATATTGACAAGCAATAAAAGATGCAAAATAGCCACAGGGGGAGTTGAATGATAACTCTTCCTACTCATTTCTGCAACATTGCAAGCTTCTGATGGTGTGTTGATTGCAACATGAAAGACCTAGAGCTATCATTCAATTCTTCTCCTGTGGTTATTTTGCATATCTTTTCATATAATGCTTCTTTTTCAAAATATGAGGCCTGGTCTGAGCCCAGGTCATGGTGACGATGATTCCCAGAACTGTATATTCCTCGACTTCTTCCCCAGCTAACGAGACGATGGACTTTGGCACATCTAGCGGTGGTGGTGTTGCTCGTGCTCTGAATGAAATCTTTCACACGATCATCCTTCAACCAGGCAACTATACACTCACTTTCTTCCTCATGAATGAAGTCTCAAACACCACATTTAATACTACAGTCAGTAGCATCAGTTCTGTTTATGTAAATGATAACACTTTAATTATTTACATTTTATGCAACTGTTATTATATTCATGAGCTTCAAGTTAATACGTATATCGTATTGCATTGTATTTTAAGGTATTTATTTTGAGTAGTATGATTCTTAACTTGATAATTAAAGATTCAGATAAATTTACTATGATTATTTAAAAAATGTAAAATTTAGAGTTTAAACAGAGAGAATCGCAGTAAATAATTTTCCATAGCCCACATTTGTGTACAGCATATCATGCAAGTCTGTTCCTAATACCTATATACAAGAAGAGTATACCTGGAAGGTGTTCCGGGGTCAATGCCCCTGTGGCCTGGTGCACTACCAGGCTTCTGAGTGACGTCTTATCGTAACTGCATATAAATAATTCTGTAATGCTAGGCAGTGTTCTGGCTCTGTTATTCCTCCACTACATCACTCATCTACCAGGAGCCAACGAGCAATTGAACCAGTGCTGTTTGCAGATGACACCACACTTGTCACCTCAGACTCATACCCAGTGGTCCTAAATATCAGTAAATAACTAAAGAAAGTGTAATGAACACCTGTCAGTGTTAATAATAACCCTCATGGAGACAGAAACTCGGAAAATTAATATCGAGTATCACAGTAAATAATATCCTTAAGAAAATTTTTGTTTGAATGACAACAGAATAACACAGCATAGAAAATGTTTGCTACATGTTTGGAAATAAAATAACCACCCATATGAATATCTGGATATGGGTGTAAAACATGAGTTTTTCAACAATGCATTGAGAAGGTGGCTTTAGGCAGTTCAGGTGTCATGCTTCAAAACAGTGTGAGTGTGAATATTATGCAGAGAATTTGGAGCGTGGCTATTAGATGGTGTGGGGATTACCAAATGTATAAGCTAGAGGGCTGAGGAAGAGTTGTTAAAGTGGTTTGCATGGTGCAACACAGGATGACCAAGAGGGGAGCATAAATCTGGGGTGGGAGGAAAAAGGAGCAGGGGTTATCTCAGGAAGGGTTGGATGGAAGGGGTAAGGGAAGTAATGAGTACTGGGAGCTTCAGTATCAAGTAAGCCTGTGTGAGTGTCAGATTGAAGCGAGTTGAAATGAGGGGTTTTTGTGGCTTGACATGCTGTTGGAGTGTGAGCAGGGTAACATTTATGAAGGGATTCAAGGAAACTGCTTAGCTGGACTTGAGTGTGGGAATACAGTGCCTGCAGTGCCTGGCAGACGATGCAACATCCCCCCAATGAAAAGCAGGGGTGTCACTAGCACGTTAAGAGACCATACAATAAGTGTCAGGGGCCCGAGACTGTTCAACTGCCTCCCAGCATACATAAGGGGGATTACCAACAGACCCCTGGCAGTCTTCAAGCTGGCACTGGACAAGCACCTAAAGTCGGTTCCTGACCAGCCGGGCTGTGGCTCGTACGTTGGTTTGCGTGCAGCCAGCAGCAACAGCCTGGTTGATCAGGCTCTGATCCACCAGGAGGCCTGGTCACAGACCGGGCCACGGGGGCGTTGACCCCCGGAACTCTCTCCAGGTAAACTCCAGGCACCCTGAATAGTGGTGGGGATGTTGAAGTTCGGAAGATCTTGTGTATTCGGAAGATCATTTGAATAGTGATGTCTGTGCACTTCTGAGGAGGATACCATTGAGGTTCAGGAAGATTTTGATATATTAATGTTGTGGTCCGAAAAGTAGCAGATACAGTTCACTGTGAATAAGTGCAAGGTCCTAATCCTTGGGAATGAAGATAACCTCAATAAACCAGGTGATGTAGAGATTGACTACACAGGCTGATAATGGTAAGCAGAAAGCTGAAACCAACGCAACAGTACCTAAGTGAGCACATTAAACCTAACTGATTACTTGGAGTTGTATCAAGGAGTCCACAGGCTATGTTGCAGCTCAACATATCATTAATAAAGCCTCACCCAGATTGTGCAGCTCAGTTCTGGTCCCATTACTACTGACTGGATATAAATTCATTGGAGAATATACAGAGAAGAATGGCAACATTAATCCACCTTATAAGGAATCTTTCATATGACCATAGATTGAGAATGCTGAACCTCCACTTTCTTGAGAGACATATAACAAGAGGGAGATGTACTTGAAAGTGTATAAGTGGAAGACAGACATAAATAATGCCAATACAAAGAGAGTATTAATGATATTCAGTCAAGAGAGAACTAAAAAACTGGATTTAAATTGAACAAATATAAATTTACAAATGATTTAGGAAGAATATTAGTTTGCGTGCGTGAGCGTGTTCAATAGGAGTGAATGGAGACGAATGGTATTTGGGACCTGACAATCTGTTGGAGTGTGAGCAGGGTAATATTTAGTGAAGGGATTCAGGGAAACTGGTTATTTTTATATAGCCGGACTTGAGTCCTGAAAATGGGAAGTACAATGCCTGCACTCTAAAGGAGGGGTTCGGGATATTGATGGTTTGGAGGGATATGTTGTGTATCTTTATACGTATATGCTTCTAAGCTGTTGTGTTCTGAACACCTCTGCAAAAACAGTGATTATGTGTGAGTGAGGTGAAAGAGTTGAATGATGATGAAAGTATTTTCTTTTTGGGGATTTTCTTTCTTTTTGGGTCACCCTGCCTCGGTGAGAGACGGCTGACTTGTTAAAAAAAAAAAATTAGTTTGGAAATGGGGTTGTTGATGAGTGGAACACACTGCCAAGTAGGGCTGTTGAGCAAAACCTTTGGGTAGCTTTAAAAAATAGGCTTGATAAATATTATGAGTGAGAAAAGTTTGATTTGAGTAGAACCTGCCTAGCACTGGTTATTAGGGTTATTAAAGCTAATTTCTAGAGTTGCTTGAATAAGTTGGACAAATGTGTGTGAAAATTCCTAGACTTGAGAAGGCTTGTCAAGTATGGGCCAGTGATTGTACTATCTCCCAGCATACATAAGAAGGATTACCAATAGACCCCAGCTATCTTCAAGGAGGAGCTGGACAGACACCTAAAGTCACTACCTGACCAGCCGGATTGTGGCTCGTATGTTGGTTTGCATGCGGCCAGCAGTAATGGCCTTGTTGATCAAGCCCTGATCCATCACAAGGCCTGGTCATGGACCACGCTGCAGGGGCATTGACCCTCGGAACACCCTCCAGGTATACTCCAGGTAGTGTTCCTCCATTTTTATGTTCTCAAGTTCTGCTCAGAAATCCAGCCTCATAATGGTGTTACTGACAGTACCATGACCAATTTGAATTCCTGTTCATGTATCGAGATGTAACAATGTTGGGTTTGGAAATTACTAATTTATAATTAACCTTATTGCTACAGTACATATACTCTCAGCTGTTACAAATGACTTTAAAAGTTCTTTTCAGAGAAGTGACCTTTATCTAGTGGCAATTTCTCCACCAGGTGTTAGTGGAGGATGGCCTAGCAAATGTTACCTTCGCCACAAGAATCCTGCTGAATGGTGTCATGTCTCCAGGCTTTGGTGATGATCAAAACATCTTCATGTACAATACCTCCATTTATTTGCTACCATCTGCACTGAAGGGCATGTATTTTTTTAAAAGCAGTACTTCTTCTTTCAACAAACTGGCCATATCCCACCGAGGCAGCGTGGTCCAAAAAGAAAAACAAAAGTTTCTCTTTAAATTTAGTAATTTATATGGGAGAAGGGGTTACTAGCCCCTTGCTCCCAGCATTTTAGTCGCCTCCTACAACACGCATGGCTTACGGAGGAAGAATTCTGTTCCACTTCCCCATGGAGATAAGAGGAAATAAACAAGAACAAGAACTAGAAAGAAAATAGCAGAAAACCCAGAGGAGTGTGTGTATATATGTGCTTGTACATGTATGTGTTGTGTGACCTAAGTGTAAGTAGAAGTAGCAAGACGTACCTGAAATCTTGCATGTTTATGAGACAGAAAAAAGGACACCAGCAATCCTACCATCATGTAAAACAATTACAAGCTTTCGTTTTACACTCACTTGGTAGGACGGTAGTACCTCCCTGGGTGGTTGCTATCTACCAACCTGCTACCTAGATAAAAACAGTACTGATGACTGTAAATAAATTTTGATTGGTTTGAGGCTCTGAAGATTTGAGCCTAGCATGGGTCAGTACACCTATTGCAGTGCTACTTTTTCTTGTGTTAAAAAAAAAAAATGCCTACAATTCATGTTAAGAATGAGTGTACATAGATATACATGGACATATGGTAGGCATGTGTGAGCATGTTAGATTGGAGTGAATGGAGATGAATGGTTTTTGGGACTTGTTGAGTTGTTGGAGTGTGAGCAGGGTAATATTTTGTGTAGGGATTCAGGGAATCCAGTTAGCTGGACTTAGAGTACGGAAGGTGGGAAGTACAATGCCTGCACTTTAAAGGAGGGGTTAGGGATACTTATTTCCTGTTTGGAGTGACATCTGAACTGTTGTATCTGTGTGCCTCTGCAAAGATAGTGATTATGTGTGAATGATAGTGAAAGTGTTGAATAATGGTGAAAGTGTTTCTTTTTTGGGTCACCCTGCCTTAGTGGGAGATGGCCAACATGTTAAAAAAAAATACATAAATATAATAGTTTTTACAGGGTTACATTTAAAAAGGAATTCAGGGAAACTGGTTAGCTAGACTTGAGTCCTGGAGGTGGGAAACAGAGCCTGCACTCTGAAGGAGGGATGGGGATGCAACAGTTGGGATTGTCATCTGAACTGTGATCTCAACACACTTCCGGCAAGACAGCAATCAAGTGAATGCCGGTGAATGTTTTCCCTTTTTTTTGGGGGGGGGGGCCATCCTAAATTCAGAGAGTTTTAAAAATTCTACACTTAAAATTATATTAGGGAGCAGAGATGTTAATTACAAGTAATAAGAAGAGAGATGAATAAAATAGTAGTTGAATAATAATTTTTTTTTTCAACAGGTTTGCCCTCTGTTTTAAAGTGGCGGGTGTTGTTATATTCCTCAAACAAGGTGCTCAACACGACTGCAACTGCAAATGATTCACTTTCTTGTATGTTTTCACAGGTGGGTGCCTCTTAAATATTCTTTGTACTCATATTTTTTGTAGACACAGAAGATGAGCTATGTTTATGTCGTCTCTGCTTTAATTATCATTATTGTATATAATTTTTAATGTTTTTTCTGATTGTTTCTCTCGTTTCTCTTGCTGCATTCCATACATCTAATATTTTTTAATTATTCATTTTTTCTTTGTGTTTTAATTTCAAATTGTTGCTTCTTGTTCTCTGTTGCTGATTTCAAACAAACTTCGAAAAACAACTCTGACTTCTGTTGCTAATCTCCTTGCAATCTCAAACATGGACAGGTTCTTTGCACCCTAGTACATGTATATTGTGACTCGTAAAATTGGCCAAGCCCTCCTTACCTCAGTCATCCCAAAATCCTGGGGCATACACTGTCTCCTTGAATGTTTCTTCCCAAACTTGCAGTCTATCAAAAGTGACATGCAAACTAACTGTAACACAGTTTGCCAAAATGCCCAACTCAGTTTGAGTTGTGGGACAGTCATCATTTCTTGGGTGATTATTCAGTTGGAGTTTCAAAACTTTCCTGTTACCAATAAAATAAGGCAGTTCCTTGCATTTGTAATAGTGGAAAAGATAGACACAGGTTTCTTTATTCATTACCTAAGGATGGACAGCAAGCATATTTCCACTTGCATAGTGTGGTGAGTGACTGGGTCATTGATGTTCAGGCATGCGTGCAGTGCAATGTGGAGGCACTGTAGGAGGCCTACTGATTCTTGTGCAGTGTGGGAGGCCTACTGATTCTTGTGGGTGCAGGAGGCCTACTAATCCATGTATGTGCAGAAGGCCTACTGATTCTTGTGGGTGCAGGAGGCCTACTGATTCTTGTGGGTGCAGGAGGCCTACTGATCCTTATGTCCACTGCTGTATCATCTTGTCATTTCCATCAGTTTGTCAAGGACCCCAATGGAAATAAGTCACTGTGTCTGACATTTTTCTTTTGGAGTTATCCTATGTAATATACACATATGTTACCATGTATGATAATTTGTGTTAACTGTATTTATGTGTACAGTGGACCCCCGGTTAACGATTTTAATCCGTGCAAGAGGGCTCATCGTTATGCGAAATAATCGTTATGCGAATGAATTTTCCCCATAAGAAATAATGGAAATAAAATTAATCCGTGCAAGACGCCCAAAAGTATGAAAAAAAATTTTTTTTACCACATGAAATGTTAATTTTAATACACACAAACTGAAAAAGGCATGCACAATTAAATGACACTTACTTTTATTGAAGATCTGGTGATGATTGATGGGATGGGAGGAGGGGAGAGAGTGTGTTAGTGTTTAGAAGGGGAATCCCCTTCATTAGGACTTGAGGTAGTAAGTCCTTTTCTGGGGTTACTTTCCCTTCTTCTTTTAATGCCACTAGGGCCAGCTTCAGAGTCACTGGACTTCTTTCGCACAAGATATCTGTCCATAGTGGCCTGTACCTCTCGTTCCTTTATGACTTGCCTAAAGTGTTTTCACAACATTGTCAGTGTAATAATCACCAGCACGGCTTGCAATAGCTGTGTGAGGGTGATTTTCATCCATGAAGGTTTGCACTTCAAGCCACTTAGCACAGATTTCCTTTATCTTTGTAGTAGGCAACTTCTTCAATTTCTCTCTCCCCTCCTCTGAACCAGTTTCCTCAGGTCTGGCCTCTTGCTCTTGAAGTTGATCTATCAGCTCATCAGTGGTTAGTTCTTCATTGTCCTTCCTCCACCAACTCTTCCACATCCTCCCCACTAACCTCCAACCCCAAGGACTTTCCAATGCCACAATGGATTCCTCAACTGGCACAGGATTCTCAGGGTTAGCCTCAAACCCTTCAAAATCCCTTTGTCTACACATTCTTGGCCACAGTTTCTTCCAAGCAGAGTTCAAGGTCCTCTTTGTCACTTCCTCCAAGCCTTACCTATAAGGTTTTACACAATTGAGGATATTAAAGTGATCTCTCCAAAACTCTCTTAGAGTCAGTTGAGTTCTGAGGTCATTACAAAGCACCTTTCAAACAGAGCTTTGTGTACAGTTTCTTGAAGTTGGAAATAACCTGCTGGTCCATGGGCTGCAGGAGAGGAGTGGTATTAGGAGGCAAAAACTTCACCTTAATGAAGCTCATGTCCCCATAAAGTCGCTCTGCCACGTCTGTAGGATGACCAGGGGCATTGTCTAACACCAGGAGGCACTTAAGTTCTAATTTCTTTTCAGTTAGGTAATTTTTCACATTGGGGGCAAATGCATGGTGTAACCAGTTATAGAAAAATTCCCTAGTGACCCATGCCTTACTGTTTGCCCTCCACAGCACACACAAATTATCCTTGAGGACATTCTTTTGCTGAACGCTCTGGGAGTTTCAGAGTGATACACTAATAAAGGCTTCACTTTGCAATCACCAGTAGCATTGGCACACATCAACAAAGTAAGCCTGTCTTTCATAGGCTTATGTCCTGGGAGTGCCTTTTCCTCCTGAGTAATGTAGGTCCTGCTTGGCATTTTCTTCCAGAACAGGCCTGTTTCATCACAATTAAACACTTGTTCAGGTTTCAGTCCTTCAGTTTCTATGTACTCCTTGATTCCTGCACATATTTTTCAGCCGCTTTGTGGTCCGAAACTGGCAGCCTCACCATGCCTTATCACACTATGGATGCCACTACGCTTCTTAAATCTCTCAAACCAACCTTTGCTGGCCTTAAATTCACTCACATCATCACTAGTTGCAGGCATTTTTTAATTAAATCCCATGCAACTTCCTAGCCTTTTCACATATGATCGCTTGAGAGACGCTATCTCCTGCTATCTGTTTTTCATTTATCCACACCAATAAGAGTCTCTCAACATCTTCATCAATTGCGATCTTTGTTTCGAAAACACAGTTGAACCTTTGGCAAGAACAGCTTCCTTGATTGTCTTTCTGGTGCCCACAATAGTAGCGATGGTTGATTGGGGTTTCTTGTACAGCTTGACTAGGTCGGCTATACGCACTCCACTTTCATACTTATCAATTATCTCTTTCTTCATCTCTATAGTAATTCTTACCCTTTGAGGTGTAGGGTTGGCACTAGAAGCTTTCTTGGGGCCCATGGTCACTTATTTTCCAGAAACAGCACCGAAAATACTGTAATAATACGAAATATTCCGAGTGTATGCTTGGATGTTACCGCGGAGGCTGGCTGGTAAACAATGGGACGGAGCGGCACATGTGAGGCTGGCTGAGGGCACATTGGACGCGTCTCGGACGAAAATCGGTATGCGGGTTTTTAATCGGTATGCGCGGCAAAAATTTTGCGATAAAAGTAATCGTTATGCGGAAAAATCGCTATGCGATGCCATCGTTATGCGGGGGTCCACTGTACTTGTACCTAAGTAAACTAGCTAATGACTGATCATCATGACAGTGTAGAAGGTAAACAGTATACATAATAATAATTTCTACAAGTACATGTACAAGGTATACAGACCATAGCTGACATTAGTGCCATACTACTGTATAGAAAGTCCCTTGTTATGCAGAACATTTCAGAGCACTTTATTAGGTCAGTTTTTAAGATAAGATAAGATAAGATTTCATTCGGATTTTTAACCCTGGAGGGTTAGCCACCCAGGATAACCCAAGAAAGTCAGTGCATCATCGAGGACTGTCTAACTTATTTCCATTGGGGTCCTTAATCTTGTCCCCCAGGATGCGACCCACACTGGGAAGAACTAAAAGCTATAAATGAAATCGAAAGAAACCCAAAGTATTTCTTCTCCTATGCCAAATCAAAATCGAGAACAACGCCCAGTATTGGGCCCCTACTTAAACAAGATGGGTCCTACACAGATGACAGCAAGGAAATGAGTGAGCTACTCAAGTCCCAATATGACTCAGTTTTTAGCAAGCCGCTAACCAGACTGAGAGTCGAAGATCAAAATGAATTTTTTATGAGAGAGCCACAAAATTTGATTAACACAAGCCTATCCGATGTTATCCTGACGCCAAATGACTTCGAACAGGCGAAAAATGACATCCCCATGCACTCTGCCCAGGGCCAGACTCAGGAACTCTGTGTTCATCAAGAACTGCAAGAAGCCCCTATCACGAGCCTTTTCCATCCTATGGAGAGGGAGCATGGACACGGGGGTCGTCCCTCAGTTACTAAAAACAACAGACATAGCCCACTCCACAAAGGGGGCAGTAAAGAAACAGCAAAGAACTACAGACCAATAGCACTAACATCCCATATCATAAAAATCTTTGAAAGGGTCCTAAGAAGCAAGATCACCACCCATCTGGGAAACCCATCAGTTACACAACCCAGGGCAACATGGGTTTTAAAGAACAGGTCGCTCCTGTCTGTCTCAACTACTGGATCACTACGACAAGGTTTCCCAAATGCACTAGAAGACAAAAAAGAATTTCAGATGTAATATATACAGACTTTGCAAAAGCCTTTGACAAGTGTGACAAATGGCGTAAATAGCGCACAAAATCGCGCTAAAGGAATAACAGGAAAAAATCGGTCGATGGATCTATAATTTCCTCACTAACAGAAAAACAGAGAGTAGTCGTCAACAGAGTAAAGTCCGAGGCAGCTACGGTGAAAAGCTCTGGGTTTCCCCAAGGCACAGTACTAGCTCCCATCTTGTTCCTCATCTCATATCCGACATAGACAAGATTGTCAGCCACAGCACCGTGTCTTCCTTTTCAGATGACACCCGAATCTGCATGACAGTGTCTTCCATTTCAGACACTGCAAGGCTCCCGGCGGACATCAACCAAATCTTTCAGTGGGCTGCAGAAAACAATATGAAGTTCAATGATGAGAAATTTCAATTACTCAGATATGGTAAACATGAGGAATTAAATCTTCATCAGAGTAAAAAAACAAATTCTGGTCACAAAAAAGAGCAAAAAACCCCAACGTCAAAGACCTGGGAGGATTATGTCGGAGGATCTCACCTTCAAGGACCAAACATTGTATCAATCGCCATCTGCAAAAAGAAAAATGACAGGATGGATAATTGAGAACCTTCAAAACTAGGGAGGCCAAGCCCATGATGACACCTTCAGGTCATTGTTCTATCTAGGCTGGAATATTGCTGCACTCTAACAGCACCTTTCAAGGCAGGTGAAATGCCGCCCTAGAAAATGTACAGAGAACTTTCACGGCGCGCATAACGGAGATAAAACACCTCAATTACTGGGAGCGCTTGAGGTTTCTAAACCTGTATTCCCGGGAAAAGCAGGAGGGAGAGATACATGTTATATACACCTGGAAAATCCTAGAGGGACTAGTACCGAACTTGCACACGAAAACACTCACTTACGAAAGCAAAAGACTTGGCAGACGATGCCACCATCCCCCCAATGAAAAGCAGGGGTGTTCACTAGCACGTTAAGAGCCATACAATTTAAATGTCAGGGCCCGGGGGACTGTTCAACTGCCTCCCAGCACACATAAGGGGGATTACCAACAGACCCCTGGCAGTCTTCAAGCTGGCACTGGACAAGCACCTAAAGTCAGTTCCTACACCCGGGCTGTGGCTGTATTTGGTTTGCGTGCAGGCAGCAACACCGGGTTTGATCAGGCGCTGATCCACCAGGGGGCCTGGTCACAGCCGGGCCGCGGGGGGCGTTGACCCCAAAACTCTCCCCAGGTAATCCCCCGGTAAAAACAGTCGTAGCCCCAGGTACTTATTTTACTGATAGATAAGGGGGACGCAGGTCCCTTAAGGAAACGTATCTGTTTTTTCACCATATGGGAATTGACCCGGGACCTCAGTGTAGAACTGTGGCTTATAATAAAGGGTGGGGAAGGGGTAAAAAATATGTGCTGTGTGCTTCCCCCAGATGAATTAAAGTAAATAATTTCAGTACTGCCTTCTCAGTTGAATTTACTGTAGCCAAAAAGTTGTGATAATTTTTTTCAGTTAGCCATCACTCTGCTCATTTTTTTTAATTCACTGGAGAAAAGGGAATCATAAAGGTCATACGTTCGGGGGGCACACTAATTAAAAATTCCTTGGAACAAGAGCCTTTCATCAGTAAACACCAAGCACTTCTCTGAAGGACATCTTTGTTACTGGACTAATAGCATTTTTTATTTAAAATTTTGTTTAGCCTTAATTTTGAAAACAGTTTTATGCTGTGAGAAAGCTACTAAAATTCCTTAATAATTTTCATTTAAAAACTGTTCTAATTTTTTTAATTCAAGCTCTAATATACTATTTTCCTAAATTTTTGTAACATTTTGCGTCTCATTATTTGTAAAACCAAAGTTTTTAAAAAGTGGGGGAGAGATAAGCCAGTGGTCAATGACCAAAAGCTCCAGGGTGGGTCATCAATGATAAACCCACGTAAAAACCTTCCTTTTCCTCCCAAATCTTCCCAAACCCGTAGCTGATAAAGGGGGGGGGGAGGGGTTTTGATCTTGCGTTCAGTCTAACCAGGTACCCTGGCCCATGGCCTTATTGGTAAACTGGGGGTTATTTTCCAGTAAAACCCTTTCCCTCCCAGAATGTACAAACTAGGAAATAATATTGTAGGATTACGACAAAGTTGGGTACAAGGATTCACGGCAACTATGGACTTTTTTTTTTTGTGGCACCTTTAAACTCTTCAGGAGCTTTGTAAGCCATTAGTAATGGCTTAAAAAAGCTCCTGGAGAGAAAAATGTTTCCAAAAAACAAAAGGGCGCATTAGTTGTACAGTGTCCGTTTACCAAACATACAAACTGTCAGAAAAACTATAGCCCTGTCCTATGATTCCCTTCAGGGAGGAACTTGCCCCTGGGGGGTTTAAAGGTTACAACACTGTCAAGGGGTGGGTTGTTCAAACAACGTGACGAAACAGTCGAAATGGACTCTCAGGTTTTCGAACTGTCCGACGGGGGCTTTATCATTGGCCGGTAAGTGTAGTGTTTTTTTCTGATTTTCTTGTTTGATAGTACTCTGGGGGAAAAAATGAAGAAAGATTTTACATCGTTGAAAATTTAGACATGCTGAAAAAAAGCCCATTGGGAACCCGTACCATAGAGGGAAAAAATTTAATTTTGTATTTTTTTAAAACTGAGAAAGGTATCCTGTTCCTTTAAACCCTACCTTCTTTTAAGTTCATAAGCAGGGTTTGGGAGGGCACCCTTTTAAAAATTTAATGCAGAAGAATGAAATATGTTCATGTGTAGGCTTATATGACGTTATCACCTAGTGCAGTTGCGGGGGTAAGTCAAAAACTCCTGACCCCACACTTTTTGGGTATGGATATATGTATGCTTGGGTGTATATTTGAAAATTGCATGTACATTGTATATTTGTTATATACACATGCGCATAAACTCATTTGTTCATTGCTTTTATTATTTTTGGAAAATATGAGTGAGGACTTTACATATAGTTAATATTTTTTGTGGTTTTTGGGAAAAAAACTTCCACAGATCCTCAACACACCACACTCATAGAAGGTACTCCCCCCTTTTTGGGGGTCCCTTTTGAAATTTTAGGTATAATCATAGTGGGACTTGTGTCCCTTTCTACTAATTAGGTCCCATCGTAGTACAGCTTCGATTTCATGGCTCACGAGAGAATCCTTTAAAAATTTGCATAAAGAGAAACGTCTTGAGAATAAACTTGAATCACAAATAATGATAAAGGTGATATGGAGATAAAAAAATTAAGTGTTTTTTAGGGGAAAAACAGGAAAGGTTGAAATTTTTTTTAATTTTAAATACTGGGGGTGGAAAGTACATTGCCTGCACTCTAAAAGGGGTTTTTGGGGATTTTCCCGTTTGAGGGCACTAAACTCTCATATCTGCATGCCTCTAAAAGACAGTGTAGTGTGAATGATGGTGATAGTTTTTCTTTTTCGCATACCCCTTCCTTGGTGGGAGACAGCCGCGTTTTAAAAAAAATTCTTTTTAACACTTCGGCTGTCCCCACCGAGGCAGGGTGCCCAAAAAAAAGAAAAAATTTTTCCCCTCATTCACACATAACACTGTTTTGCAAAGGCATGCAATATGACAGTTTAGATATCAAAAATAGCTCACTCAAAATTTTTTTTTTAACAAACTGGCTATATCCCACTGAGGCATGGTGACCAAAAAGAAAAACAAAAATTTCTCTTTTTAAATTTAGTAATGTATACAGGAGAGGGGGTTACTACCCATTGCTCCGGGGCATTTTATTCCCCCTTTTAGACACGCATGGCTTACGGAACAAGAATTCTTTTCCACTTCCCCATAGAGAGTTCCTTCTAATGTAAAAAAAATCGTATTTGTATTTATTTTTTCCTCACAGAATGTTGTGAAAGTAGTGAATGCCAGTTTCACAGTGCTGCCACCAATGTCATGCATAGTGATAGACTACGGTGATAATAGCCTGAAAAAGTCATTTTGGTTTTAAGGTGTGTGGGGTCAAAATTTCAACAACATTCTACATTGGCCCCAGTTCGAATCCCTTTTTGGTGAATCTCTTATAGAAGTATTCCCGTCACGTTTGTATAGACCCAACCCCTTCCTAAAGAACGTTGGGGCTTTGTGACATTTTTAAACCTGGAAAAGTGAGATGACATTAATTGGACATTTGTTTTAGTTTTTCTGTTTTATTATTCAAATTCGATTTTTATTTCTTTTTTGAAATACAGATTCTGTAGCTTTCAGTTATGAAAAATTGTTGACATAGAAGAAAGGCACTAAAATGTAGTGCATTTCTTGGACTAATTCATGCTTTAAGACTTAAGAAATTTGACATAGACTTTAATATGGTTTGTATACAGAAATACAAACATAAACGTAAGAAAGGTAGCTAATGAAAAATTAGTACAAAATTGCAAGATCACTTATTAATTTTTGAACTGATTTATGTTTCAGTTTTGTGGAGTGATTTAATAGATAGTGAAGATTGGGAAGTTTTTTTAGTTAAGTAGAACATAATGGGACAAAGATGTGTAACAATTTTCTATGGAGTTGAAGGAAGATTGGGAAAAAAAGCAGGGGGCGAGTTAGATGAGTGGTTTTTTTTGACATGCTTATTTTAAATTTTATTAGGTGTGAGATCTTTTTAATAATTCTCTGAAATTTTATTGGCAATAAGGGGCATCAGTGTTTCCCGGCATTAATTCCCGATCTTTGGGCTTTAATGTGGGTTGAATTTTTTCATAGGTTTATCGGGGCATGGGGATGTCAAAGAGGGTTTTGGGGGGGTTTTTCGTGTGTTTTGTTGCAGCTGTCAAAGATTCACATGTTTTCCCAAAAATTTCAAATAAAATCATCTTGAATCGGCACATATAAAGGCGACCCACATACAGCGGTTGGGTTTCCCGCGTAAGTAAAATGGCATTTTTTTTTTATTAATTGCCTTAAAATATTTTCATCCTAGCTTATAGGATGGTGAATATATTTAATGTAGGAAGTCTGCATAAATGGAGAATGGGTATAATTGAAAACTGCTGGGTTAGTGAAACACTGTAAAGCGGGATCCATTTGTATTACAATAAATTTTTTTTTTTCAGAAGCAATGGGAGAAATTCTTTGATTGTGGGTCTTAGTAAAAAGATTAATATCATTGGTGATTTTTTTGGGTTGGAAAATTTATGTTTTTTCTATTATACTCCAGTGCAGAGGGAATATACCAAGTAAGGGGGCTTGCTGTGGATCTGAGATATTCCTTCAATGCTGAGCTGCAGGTCGTGATTGCAAACTTGCCTTGCAATATGCCAGATGTTCAGATAGTCAATAAGGCTCCATTTTTCACCCAGCCGGACAAAAAGGAAAACCATGCCATTTTTTAAAGTTACTAAAACAAAAATTGGTGAATAAAAACTGTACCAGTAAGGTAAAATTTAAATTGTTCCAGGGGCACATTGTATCATACAATCATGAACCTTTTTTATTTTTATGGTATTTTAGAATGTAGTTTACTGTATTAAAAAAATTGTTAAGACAAAAGAAAACCAAACATGGGCTTTTGGCAAATAAAACTAAGTTTACAGACTACCTAAAAAATAGAATGGTTTTGAGTAGTAGTTTTTTTTAAAGCATAAAAGATGGGGTAGCTAATGAAAATAGTATAGTTTTAATATGATTAATACTTTTTAAATGATTTAGGATCCTTTAATTAACTGGGGTTTCTTAAGGGAATATTGAGAAAAAAAAAAAAGCACAATACTATTCTGGGGTAACCACAAATAAACCCCTATACAGTGGCCCCCCCTTAACGATCACCCCCCAATGCGCCAAATTTTGTAAGGTATTTTTGTAAGTGCGTTTGTACGTGTATGTTTGGGGGTTTGAAATGGACTAATTACAATGGGAAAAAAGTCACTCTGTCTGACTTTTTTGGGTTATCCCAGGTTCTCTACACACATGTGATGTATGATAATTTTTTTTGAACTGTAATTTTTGTATACCTGAATAAAATTACTTACTTTCTAATATTTCCCAGGGGAAAAAATTCGGTCATACTGGCACCTTAAAAATACTTTTGGAATGACAAAATCGAAAGGGGGGCACTGTATAGGAGAATGAAACTTATGAGGATGTTTTGGTCCCACTGGGGCCATTTAAAATAGTCACTAGTAAGTGGTTCAGGTCGGACCGAAGTTCATCACATTTAATTTTCACATATAGGTTAATTTTTTATATTTTGAATTTTTTTTTAGTTTTATTAGGTTATACAATATCTGCCAAAAAAATTTACTCGTTTATTTTTTTACTGAGGTTCCAAATTTGGAATACACACAAATGTAACTTGTAATTTCTCAAAAAACAGTACCCTATTTTTCAGCATATAAGGGGTGCTTTTTTTTACCTGCCCCTTTAAAAAAACCCGCATGGGGTCTTATATGCCAAGGGTTTGGGTTTTAAAGGGTAGGCTTTGGGTTATGCTTTAGCATTGTTTATAATGTTACATTAAACTGCTTGGAAATTAGTCTTGTATACTCGTTCACCTTATTGCTGGAAAATTGGTATGTAGGAAAATTTGGAACCAGTCATAGCACATCTGTCTGTGTTTTGTCGTTAAAAAATGGTTCATCTTTTAAATGGGTTTTTTTTATAATGTTGTTATACATTGTCGCTTGGATCCGTTTAGTATCAGTCCTTTTTTCCACTCATAGGTTTTTTTTAATTTCCTTTTAAAAATCATAGCAGAAGGGCCCCTGTTTTTTTCCCCCTGTTATTATTCTGTCCTTCCCCAATCTTCTTTTCCCCTCCTTTCCCGTCTTTTTGGTTATTGATCTTTTTTTCCCCGAAGTTTACCTGGGGAGAGTTCGGGGGTTTCGTCCCCGCGGCCCGGTCTGTGACCAGGCCTCCTGGTGGTCAAGCCGATCAACCAGGCTGTTTCTGCTGGCTGCATGCAATCCAAAGTACAAACCCCAGCCGGCTGGTCAGGTATGATTTAGGTCTTGTCCTTGCCAGCTTGAAGAAGCCAGGGGGTTTTGGTAACCCCCCCCTTATGAGCGGGGGGCGTTTTAACAGTCTCGGGCCCCCGAACCCTTTTTGTATTTTTCCCTTTCGTGCTAGTGACACCCCCGCTTTTATTGGGGGGGTGTTTTCATCGTCTGCCCAAATCTTTTGCTTTCGTAGTGAGTGATTTTCGTGTGCAAGTTCGGTACTAGTCCCTCTAGGATTTTCCAGGTGCATATAATCATGTATCTCTCCCGCCTGCGTTCCAGGGAATACAGTTTTAGGAACCTCAAGCGCTCCCAGTAACTGAGGTGTCAAGGTACCACTGTATAGGTATTCTTAAGATAAATTATAATAGTGCTCACTGTAAATTTATTTAGCAATTTTTAAAGTACAGTAAGTGTTAATCACATGTGTACAAAGTACTTTTATAAAATAATGAATATATTACAAGCTAAACCCTGAAGATGGGACACTACATAACTCCACCACTGTGACTACAGATTTGTGGTTTTTCCGGTAACTTGCTGTTGGAGTGTGAGCAAATTAACATTAATGAAGGGATTCAGGAAGCCTGGTTAATTGAGGTGGGAAGTACAGTGCTTGCACACTGAAGGATGGGTGTATGTTGCAGCTCAAAAGTTCATTTTGGCAAGATGAGTACAGGTCAGCCATCACTAATCCAGCAATCAGTTATCTGGTTCCATCAGTAATCTGGCACTAATTTTGGCTAGCATAATTTCAAATTTCACCATTATATTGACTTAAATCATTATACCAATTCAAATTTTATCATTATACTGACTCAGAAATTGTGCAGATGGTTGTAAATCCACAGCAGCAAGCCAGTGGAGGAGAAAGCAGTGATGAAAATGAGGAAGATGTAGTAGAAAGAGTCTCTATTGATAGGTTAATTATGTGTATTCTAACCTAACCACTCTGTAATCTGGCAAACTCATCTTGCACACTTCAGGTCCCAGTGATGCCGGATTAGTGATGGCCGACCTGTATTAAATAAGTGTCAATAAATGAATTTTCTTCTTTGGGTCATCTTACCTTGGTGGAAAGTTGCTAATATGGTAAAAAAAAAATGAGTAATTTTCTTGTTTTACTTCTTTAACCCGTAAACGGTCCAAACAGATATACATATGTATGTTTTTTCAACATTTGAAAGTATGTAAAAAAAGTAGATCTTCTTTTTTTTTTTACATTTGAAAATGTGTAAAAAACTTTGATCTGCTTTTTTTTTTTTTTTTTTTTTTTTTTTTTTTTTTTTTTTTTTTTTTTTTTTTTTTTTATTTTATTGAAAATATGTAAAAAACGTAGATCTACTTTTGGAGCACTATACATGTGAACGTAGATCTGCTTGGACAGTTTAAGGGTTAACCTATAGGACGAACTAGCTGTTTTTCAAGTGGGCATTTAAATTTGTCCAACAATGGTTCAAACAATGTTTTCATAAACAACTGTAGCAATGGTTTACTGTAATTCAAAGCTTTACCAAACGTATGTTTTTTCCCTTCTTCAGTGAACCAGTCATATCTCATCAAGGCAGGGTGACCTAAAAAGAAAAACAAAAGTGTTTCTTTTTAATTTTAATAATTTATACAGGAGAAGGGGTAACTAACCCCTTGCTCCCAGTATTTTAGATGGATCTATAATTTCCTCACTAACAGAACACAGAGAGTAGTAATCAACAGAGTAAAGTCCGAGGCAGCTACTGTGAAAAGCTCTGTTCCACAAGGCACAGTACTCGCTCCCATCTTGTTCCTCATCCTCATATCTGACATAGACAAGGATGTCAGCCACAGCACCGTGTCTTCCTCTGCAGATGACACCCGAATCTGCATGACAGTGTCTTCCATTGCAGACACTGCAAGGCTCCAGGCGGACATCAACCAAATCTTTCAGTGGGCTGCAGAAAACAATATGAAGTTCAACGATGAGAAATTTCAATTACTCAGATATGGTAAACACGAGGAAATTAAATCTTCATCAGAGTACAAAACAAATTCTGGCCACAAAATAGAGCGAAACACCAACGTCAAAGACCTGGGAGTGATCATGTCGGAGGATCTCACCTTCAAGGAACATAACATTGTATCAATCGCATCTGCTAGAAAAATGACAGGATGGATTACCTGGAGTTTACCTGGAGAGAGTTCCGGGGATCAACACCCCCGCGGCCCGGTCTGTGACCAGGCCTCCTGGTGGATCAGAGCCTGATCAACCAGGCTGTTGCTGCTGGCTGCACGCAAACCAACGTACGAGCCACAGCCCGGCTGGTCAGGAACCAACTTTAGGTGCTTGTCCAGTGCCAGCTTGAAGACTGCCAGGGGTCTGTTGGTAATCCCCCTTATGTATGCTGGGAGGCAGTTGAACAGTCTCGGGCCCCTGACACTTATTGTATGGTCTCTTAACGTCCTAGTGACACCCATGCTTTTCATTGGGGGGATGTTGCATCGTCTTCAAAACTAGGAAGGCCAAGCCCATGATGACACTCTTCAGGTCACTTGTTCTATCTAGGCTGGAATATTGCTGCACACTAACAGCACCTTTCAAGGCAGGTGAAATTGCTGACCTAGAAAATGTACAGAGAACCTTCACGGCGCGCATAACGGAGATAAAATGCCTCAATTACTGGGAGCGCTTGAGGTTCCTAAACCTGTATTCCCTGGAACGCAGGCGGGAGAGATACATGATTATATACACCTGGAAAATCCTAGAGGGACTAGTACTGAACTTGCACACGAAAATCACTCACTACGAAAGCAAGAGACTTGGCAAACGATGCAACATCCCCCCAATGAAAAGCAGGGGTGTCACTAGCACGTTAAGAGACCATACAATAAGTGTCAGGGGCCCGAGACTGTTCAACTGCCTCCCAGCATACATAAGGGGGATTACCAACAGACCCCTGGCAGTCTTCAAGCTGGCACTGGACAAGCACCTAAAGTCGGTTCCTGACCAGCCGGGCTGTGGCTCGTACGTTGGTTTGCGTGCAGCCAGCAGTAACAGCCTGGTTGATCAGGCTCTGATCCACCTGGAGGCCTGGTCACAGACCGGGCCGCGGGGGCGTTGACCCCCGGAACTCTCTCCAGGTAAACTCCAGGCCTCCTACGGCATGTTAACTTTGCCAGATGGACTATTGTCAAATCTGTGTCATTATGTATTGGATTACAATAAAATTTAATGAATTCAAAGACAACTTGCTCAGAAATGTTCAAGATAAGTCAAAGTATTTTATCCACAGTGGTATATTACAAACCATTCTGGAAAAAAAACTCTCACTTTTCTCACTGTAAAAAAAG